AACTGCATAAACTCTTCTTCTGCTATGGTGAAGCGTGGGGGGCAGTATACGGCAGCTGGAGTTAATTGCTTGCCAGTATTTATTTAGGTGTAAATTTATTGATGTGGCCTGTAGGTAGTTTTTTCCAAATTTCGTATGATAATGGTGCTTGATACGGCTTCTGATTAAAATTCCAGTCCCGCCGTGTGCTTTACCGTCTGGATTATTTGTTCCATAGAATGAATATCCTCGTAGTTGGAAATTGTATCTGTTCGTAAGATGTGTTTCTGAAAGCAGCAATACGTCGATTTGATTGTCTAGTAGGAATTGCGCTAACTCGAGTTTATGCTGCGAAACGCCGTTAGCGTTCCATGTAGATATTCATAGGGAAGTCATTATTTGGATTGTTGTGAAACCAGCGTTTGTATTAATAGATTTTGGTTTCGCATTAGATTTTGCATAGTTGTACGCATAAACGACATAAACTCCGTAAGGCTTTGTTGTATCATAGCTTCAAAGTTACTTTTTGGCTGCTCCGGCGGTTGATGCTGCTGAGCCGTGTTCGGTTCTTGGTGTGCTGATTGCGGCAGTGAGCTTTTTGAGGCGGGGGTAGCCAGTCCTGATTTTAAAGTGCTTGCGTATGTGATATTTTTGTCAAAGTTTATGGGTCCTACTGAGGATCTGGCTGCAGTCGAGAAGACTTCAGGGTTTGACCTGGAGGCTATGAACTGATTATCTCCCTCTGGTGGATGCGACTTTTCAACTCCTTATAAACTGGGCAACCTCTATAGTTAGCAGTGTGACTTCCACCGCAGTTGCCGCACTTTTTCGAGTTTTGGTCATCTTTACTCGCTGGGCAGTGTGCGGAGTCATGAAGCTCACCATAAACTACACAAACTGGTCGCAGTTTACAGTAAGACCTTGTATGGCCATATTCTTGGCAGTTCGCACATTGTACCGGGCCATTGCGTTTGTGCGGCTCCTCAACTGTAATTCTGCAGTGCAGCAGGAACTGAAGATTGTATATAGGGTGCACTTCGTATTTCTTTAGGGGTTTAATTTGTGGTTCGAGCTCAACCTTAAAGAGTGGCTGCGGCTTTCTATCCCTGTTAGAGATATTGAACATTGTTTTAGCGCTAAATCCCTTCTCTTGTAGCGCCTTTGTTATCTCTGCAGGCGATACTTCGGGCTCTATGCCCTTAAGTACGACTTGCAAGCCCTTGCTGCTTTTTAGCTGATACGTGTAAAAGTTCTTTTTTTTGTCGTTGAGGTATTTCGATAATACTCTGTAATTATCTTCAGACTTCGTTTGAACTTTTGTTTCCTGGATGTTGCCCTTTACGAGTGGTATTATGTGGAAGTTGTCCTTGCCAATGAGCTCTATAATTTTGTTGACAAGAACGTTGGAACTTTTTTCTCGTATGTAAATTGGCGGGGGCTTAGGCTTCCTTTTTTCGACTTCTGTAGATTCGGCATCATCCTCATAGACTGCCAAGATTTTAAAACGGTTTGAGTTCGTGGGCGTTTCTCAATGTTTGCGCTGTTAGCTGATAACGTCGTTAAACGCGCTGTCGTTACAGTAGCGGTTGTCGTTGTTGTTACGGTTGACGTTGTCAAAGAGGTTGCGGTGCTAGTTACTGCGCTCTTTGGCTGCAGAGACATCGATGGTAACGAGGGCGAGCAAGAACGCTCTCTACGTTTAAGAATTGTGCCAAGTTTGGGGTAATTGACCGTGTTTGGGATGAGCTTGCATTACTTTCGGTTGCTTTGAAAGTGAAGTAAGCGTTGTTTTTTTGTACTAAGAGCCGTCTCTCGTCTTGCTCACGTTGACGTTGTGTGCTAACGTCGTTTAGACTCATGCAATCGAGGTTGATATTGTTCGAATTTTAAATGTTATGTTTTATATTAATTAATTAATTAATCAATATAAACATAAGCGATTTCATCGCTGAATGCGTCTTTTCGCGTTGTTGTTGATTAACGAAACCAGTCACTGCACTTTTTTTTTTTTGTTACTATTGAATACTTTTTTTTTTCCCGGAGTACAATAAATACACGTCTGCATGCGACGACGATTCGCGAGTCATGAAAGCTTGTAATGAAAGTAAGGCATTGTAAATGAAAGCTATTCTTTAAACGCAGTTGGAGTGTGTGCCAACAATGGGACCCTTAGATCCTTACAAAGAAGCTTACTCAAATTTCGACTAGACGACCAGATACATTCCAGACGGAAAGCGATGGGAAACAAGTCCTCCCTAGCGCCACGACAAGATGGAGCTACTCTTCTCGCTATAGATGACACAGCGTCGACTTGCGTGCCTAGAGTTGGCATATCTCTTAACTTCATTGCTTTCATTACTGAAAGGACCGGATCAACTTCCTTTCCTAGTGAATTGTACTGCGATTTCGAGAACGACGCATAGGCATCAGCGGCTACATAAAAGAAATGTTTCATCAAGTGAAGATTAGATCGGAGGACAAGCAAGCGCAGCGATTTCTCTAGAGGTACGGAGATTCGAGACCAGAGCCCGATAGATATGTTATGACGGTCATGACTTTCGGTGCTTCTTGTTTCCCAGCGGCCGCGACATATGTCAGGGACAAAAACGCCAAGCGATTCACCGCACAGATAATACTTTCGTAGACGATTGGCTTCAAAGCAGATTATCTGAAGAAAATACTTCGAGAAGGATGCTTCGAGATGAGAGGGTGGATTTTTAATTCCCAGCGGTAATGAGAGCGTTTACAGGAAAGGTCGACGAAAGATTTCTGTACGAACTTAAACGAGAACGAGTTCTGAACATGTCTAAGAACTCACGGTCACCAACCCACGTAAACACGAAAATTTTTGGGTCCCACCGCATAGGAGAGTGTAATCATTTCCATATTTGATCCACTCGGCTTACAAGGATTTTACATTATGCAAGTAAACTTAATTCTTCAAGCAGTAAGCAGATCCGCGACGGGATGGGATGAACCAGTCAAAGACGAAAGGTCGTCGTTAGAACCATTGAAAGCAGCAACTTCAGCACATCGAGGGAGTTCCAGTTCTCCGGTATCTAGGCTTGACACATAAAGCAACAGACACTCAATTAAATATCTTTTTAGATGCCAATATAAACGTCTTTTCAGCAGTCGCTTACCTACGCACTGGATGGCAAGGATGGCAAGAATTGTACACTACTAGCATCAAAAACAAGAGTCGCGCCGTTGAAACCGATATCAATTCCACGACTGGAGTTAATGGCATCCATTTTAGGACTAAGACTAGCCAAGTTAATGGCAGCAGAGCTATCTTTCAAAGCGAAGAAACGCGTGTTTTGGACCGATTCAAAGAATGTTTAAGACCGATTCATTGGTTGCGTTCCGATATGGAATCATTAATTTGTAGCACTGCTAATAAGAGATATTTTAGAGAACTCCGAGCTCAAGGAGTGCAGATTGGTACCGTCATTAATGAACGTCGCCGACGACGGCACGGACTGGACCAAGGAATCGAATTTTAAGGATGCTCAATGTGGTTTGAAAGACCGATCTATCTGTACGAGGCGGAATCCCTCTGGCCGGTCATCGAGCTCGAACCCCAAAACTTGAAAAGGATTCACACCCCTAATTTACAATCTAGAATCTTCAAGTTTTCACCCTATTAAGATGACGACAACGTCCTACGAGTACGAGGGCGTATCGATCGTATCAAAGACACAACGGTTTTTGTGAGAAGACCAGTGATTTTACCGAAATCACACACAACTACGAGCTCGTTAATCGACTACTACCACCGAAAATTTCACCACCAAATGAGTAAGGTCGTAGTCAACGAAATGCGACAACTATACTGAATTCCTGGATTGAGAGCCAGTGTGCGCCACTTGACGATGACATACCAAAGATGCAGGAATAATCGAGCGACGCTAGAGAACTCTGAGATGGGGGCTCTACTGAAAGATCGATTGGTGATAAACGAACTGCCTTAAACGAGGGAATCGACTTTCTTGGCCCACTCGAAGTCAACGTAGGAAGACCGTGAGAAACGATGGGGAGTACTGTTCACGTGCCTGACAATAAGAGCAGTAATAAACATCGAGCTAGCACATTCGTTGCCCACAGACTCTTTTATGCTGGTGCTGGAGACATTCGTTTCCAGGAGAGAAGTAAGCAAGCAAATCGTGTCCGACTACGGAACAAATATCAGAGTCACGGAGTCACTACTCCGACTGAAATATACCTTGTTCCTATCTCAGTATATTAATTTTTAATGATTCGTAAAAAAAATATATATACAAAACATTTTACTGATAACACTTAATCTTATTCCTCAATAAATGTAAAATGTATGCTGAAATATTAAAATATAATATATCAAATAATATAATTTGGTTATATTATTGTTTGTTTCGTCATTTCACCCAATAAGGAATTCACCCGAATTTTGTTAGGGTAGCAAGCCTAAAAGTTAGAAAAATCAAAAGTTGTGTGCGCTGGCTTTGAAACAAAATCGCACGCACACATAAACCCGTGTTTGTGAATGTTTGACACGCATACACACAAGGATAAATCCAAGAGTAGACCAACCTTCTTCATCGCGCTCCTTTCAAAGACTGAGAAACAGAAAGAATTAAATGAGAATATGAGGGTAAGAAGAACGAACGATGAGCGTAAAAGAGTAAGATTTCGCTCTGGGGCCTCTCGCAAGAAATTTTTGCGTCCAGTTTCGTTGTATGAAATGGGTAGTCTATATGCTGTATTATTAGTGCTGTTAGTTATCTTAAAAATTTAAGATTTGATACACATTTAGTTAGTGGTTATTTTTAATATTTTAAAATGACAAATTTTTTTTATTTATATTGATCTTTTGGGGACGTTTTTCATCGGTATTTTACATTGTCAAGATGTTTTTTTTCGATCTGATTACTCCCATATGGGTTTTGTCCCTAAATATCTATAAATTCATAATTATTTATTTCAGTTCCTGTACATTACGTTAAAAAAAAAAAAAAAAATTTTTAAGTTCGTAGACGTACCTTTAGTTCCATGAATTTTATTGGGATAAAACAAGTCATTTCTTGATGCAGGGATGTTTGTTTTAAAAGGTTGTGATACATTACAGCCATTTTCAAGATTTTTATTTTCGTTTAGCTCTGTTGGATTGATTTTTTTTTGCAACGAGTGAATAAGTTGTGCGCGTCCTCGACCAACTGAAACATTTATATTTTCCAGAGCAGTCAAAAGACTACTATCACCACTGGTTTTGCTGGAATTAGATTGATGTACATCCAATCCACTATCAACTTCATGTCCATCACTAGATGAAGAATTTTCGGAATTTTGAGATTTTTTTTTAAATAAACTAAGCAAGTTTCCCCTTCCAGACATATTCTGAAAAAAAAAAATTAATTTAATAAAAGTTATAAATTTAACATTCTTTAATAATAAAAATATATAATCAAAGTTTAGGGGATGTTCATATATATAAGCAGTTAATAACTTATCATGTTTTTAAATAAGTGCTCGGAGAAAAATATTTAACCAAATAAGATAAATGGACAATTAAAATTTCAATTTTTAGCAATTAACAATTTGCCAGGTTATTTTTTCCTAAGATTATTTTACACCTTAAGCAAGGTGATCCAGAGCATGAGACATAGGTCCTATTCACTTTAGAAAAACGCGATTTTCTCGAAAACTTTTTTTTTTTTTTAGCTTGTGTCAATGATATGTTAAGTTTTTATTTTGTTAATTCAGTTAAGAGTTGGGTCATTTCCGATCGTTCAGTTATATGGCAGCTATAGGATATAGTCGGCCGATCCTTATGAAATTTGGCATGTAGTAATGTTTTGCCAAATAGCTTTCACGTTAAATTTGAACTCTCTAACTCTAAAAACACCAAAGTTATACCATTTCCGATCAATCAGTTATATGGCAGCTATAAGATATAGTCGGCCGATCCGGGCCGTTCCGACTCATATACTGCGTGCATGGGAAAGTAGGGTGTGTGCAAAGTTTCAAGTCGATAGCTTTTAAACTGAGTGACTAGTTAGTTAGAAACAGTTGAGCGTAGAAACAGACAGATAGACGGACATGCTCATATCAACTCAGGTGGTGATCCTGATCAAGAATATATATACTTTATAGGGTCGGAGGTGTCTCCTTTACTGCGTTGCACAATTTTGGACAAAGTTATAATACCCTCTGCAAGGGTATAAAAAGATTTTACTTAAATAAAAAAAAAATTCTAAATCTGGAGTCCCTGAAGAAGGTTGTGAACCGGTCACGGTCTTGGCCCGTTATTATAAATTGCAGCATACATTTATGGAACTGTGAATGCTGAAAAGTACAGTTATTCTGAATCGTTACGTTCTACCCTCAATGGAGGAGCATCTTTCTCGTGCCTCAAACAAAATCTTTCAGTGCAAAAAAAAGGGATATATTTTTTTTAATTCTTCAAGGTTTTATTTATACGATCAGTTTACGTTTGGCAGTCGAACCGATCACTCGTTTTTTTCACGCAAAGCGAAACTAGAAAGCTGTATAAGTGACAAACACTAAAACAAACATACACAGTTCTATAAATAGATCGCTTATCAGTTAGTGCACAACAGGTGACAAGCTTATAGCGAATATAAAACACTTAAAACCCAAATAATCATGCGTGTTCCACCAGACATTTGGAAGGAAAAACCTTTACCAACCAGTAAATTCCTTATAATATCAAGAACCGATGAGACATCCTTTGCCGGAGTCTCCCCCTTTAATAATAAAAAAGTCATTGATATAACATGCGGGGGTGTAGTTGTCAGCTGTAAGAAGTTACGTAACGGAAATCTTCTCCTACAAACAAAAGACATTAATACTCCACATACCCGTATCAGCCTCAGAACACCGAACGCTAAACTACTCAAAGGGTATAATATACTCCAACGATCTGCGAGGTATTGAAATAGAAGAGATCCTCGAAAACCTAAAAAGCCAAAAAGTGACCGCAGTTAGGACAAGAAAGCAAAGCTAACTTCGGGCGGAGCCGAAGTTGATATACCCTTGCAGTTAAAACCGGATAAATATCGCAAACATCGGATATAGTTTGCCGATCCTTATGATTACATCATAATAAAACCAATTTATTACAATAAAAAATCTAAAAAAAAGTCCCAAGCTTCTATCTTCAAAAATACGAAAGTTGATATTTCTACCAAGTACCATTTACGATCGTTCAGTTATATGGCAGCTATAGGATATAGTTGGCCGATCCTAATGAAATTTGGTAGGTTGGATCAACTGGCCAAAAATAGAATCTGTATTAAGCTTTCTATGTTCAAAAACACGAAAGTTGGGTCTTTTCCGATCGTTCAGTTATATGGCAGCTATAAGATATAGTCGGCCGATCCTTTTGAAATTTGGCATGTCGTAATGTTTTGCCAAAAATAGCTCTAGTGTCAAATTTAAACTCTCTAACTCTAAAAACACCAAAGTTATACCTTTTCCGATCAATCAGTTATATGGCAGCTATAGGATATAGTCGGCCGATCCGGGCCGTTCCGACTTATATACTGCGTGCAAAGGGAAGAAGGGTGTGTGCGAAATTTCAAGTCGATAGCTTCAAAACTGAGAGACTAGTTTGCGTAGAAACAGACAGACGGTCAGACGGACAGACGGACAGACGGACATGCTCATATCAACTCAGGAGGTGATCCTGATCAAGAATATATATACTTTATAGGGTCGGAGATGTCTCCTTCACTGCGTTGCACACTTTTGGACAAAATTATAATACCCTCTGCAAGGGTATAAAAATGATGAAGACCCTTATAGGAGAGCCAACCGAAACTGGACTAATAACCCTAACATTTGAAAATTAGACCTACCGGATTACATATATGTCGAATCATGATCGTTGTTGTTGTTGTTGTCTTCCATTGTGGCGCAACGAGTTTCAGCCTTGTACATACTTCAAGTTCTGGTACGCAACTGCCTGCGTCTAATTCTTTACCTACTGTGGATACTACTGAACCTCGATCGGCGACAGCGACACAACGCTGTCGCCTCGCTACAACGATACTTTTTAAAAGCGACAACATCCTAGCAACGGTCGCCTGCCAACGGTTACCTGGCAACCACACACTCACACCGCAAGAGGCTGATGCCATATTATCACTCTGGTGAAATACCCGAAAATGTGTATTCGCACACACACACACATAAATTCGCAACCACGCAGTTTCAATGCGCCGACATATATATAGGATATGAAAGAGTTCAAGTTCGCCCTTATATACCAGCCCCAATCCGATGTAACAAAAATACAGAGACCTGCTTTATATGCGAGCGTGGTACATGCTGCATTAACTGCACCGAAAAAAATATGCCGGACAATAAACACCATCCCAGAGACAGAAACTGCTTTTTTTCTTACCCATAAAGAAGTACAAACCCTCCAAAAAGTAGACACCAAATCGGCCTGGTCCATCTACAGGAAGAGAAACCAGCATGCCAGATCCCTTTATGCATCGGTAGCAAGCTCAACGCAAAACAACATACCAAATCCACATCAATTATCACAGAATACCTCTTCGACATCAGCATCAACCTCCATCCTCCCACCGGTAGTAAAAGACACCGGCAGACCCATTATAGAATATGACGACAAGGATGATGAAAATATGGTAATAGACTCAAGCGACGAAAATATCAGTAAGGATAGGACAATAGTAAATTAAATGTTCTCCTTAGAAACATAAGCAAAAGAACCAAAAGAAATCTAATTAACAAAGAAAAATCTAACAACACTATTGTAACAAGATCTAAGTTTAAAAATATTGCTCAATTAAATAAAGACTAATCGTTAAATCTAAATATAATAGACGCATGTATAATACGAACTACCGAACTGAGCGGACATGCTTTGTCCGAGCTCCGGGAAAACTGCACCATAATACAGCTAATCAAAAAACTGGGCTAACCCAATATAAGCGAAAAGACGCTGAACTACAATTTACTAAAAGCGACAGACATGCTTTTTATAACAGTTGTGATGTGCTAAACCAAAACTAGTGCATTGTTCAAACAAGAAAGGAAAGCTAACTTCGGGCGGAGCCGAAGTTTATATACCCTTGCAGTTAAAACCGGATATATATCGCAAACATCGGATATAGTTGGTCGATCCTTATGATTACATTATAATAAAACCAATTTACTAAAATACAAAATCTAAAAACAGTCGCAAACTTCTATCTTCAAAAACACAAAAGTTGGGTAATTTCCGATCGTTCAGTTATATGGCAGATATAGGATATAGTCGGCCGATCCTTATGAAATTAGGTACGTTGGATCAACTGACCAAAAATAGAATCTGTATTAAATTTCAGCTTTCTATCTTCAAAAAAACGAAAGTTGGGTCATTTCCAATCGTTCAGTTATATGGCAGCTATAGGATATAGTCGGCCGATCCTAATGAAATTTGGTAGGTCGGATCAACTGGCCAATAATAGAATCTGTATTAAATTTCAGCTTTCTATCTTTAAAAACACAAAAGTAAGGTCATTTCCCATCGTTCAGTTATATGGCAGCTATAAGATATAGTCGGCCGATCCTTATGAAATTTGGCATGTCGTGATAATTTGCCAAAAATAGCTCTCGTGTCAAATTTGAACTCTCTAACTCTAAAAACACCAAAGTTATACCATTTCCGATCAATCAGTTATATGGCAGCTATAGGATATAGTTGGCCGAGTCGGGCCGTTCCGACTTATATACTGCGTGCAAAGGAAAGAAGGGTGTGTGCAAAGTTTCAAGACGATAGCTTCAAAACTGAGAGACTAGTTCGCGTAGAAACGGACAGACAGACGGACAGACGGACATGCTCATATCAACTCAGGAGGTGATCCTGATCAAGAATATATATACTTTATAGGGTCGGAGATGTCTCCTTCACTGCGTTGCACACTTTTGGACAAAATTATAATACCCTCTGCAAGGGTACAAAAAAAATAAGAGCCACGCAATGAGCTTATTGAGCAACGATCAAAAGCGTAGAAGTTCAGTGAACCAAAGAAACGGCTTCTACTCTTACTTTTCAACCCGCGATACCGAAGTGGACCGCTGAAACCCAAAGGGCACGGTCATGTTCATCCGCCCTGCTCACTCCGACTCCCGCGTCATGGGAGTTCGCAGTTTAAAAACCGCCCTCCAATATCGGAAACAAATTTCGCACCAACAACAAGCAGTGGTACAATTTTTGTAACCACAGCGACAAGCACTGCAATTCAAAATACCGCGACGTCAACGACAACAGCGAGCACAAAACCAACAACTTCGGAAAGTGCCAAAGCGGCAACGGCCACACAGACTGGAATGGATTGCTACATCCAAATTAAGCGCAAGCT